GATATTCCAACATCAACCTATTGAGGAATGCTTTGAAACCAGTTTTTCTGCATATCTCTTGCAGTCTAACTGAACTCGGCCCTATTCCCTATTCCACTAGAACTGATCTGTTTTCGCTGCCTTAACGGATAGAGCCAACGTCCGAGCTAAAAGGTCATTCCAGTCTCCAGCATCGCTATCCAACAGGGTGCATTCCAGGGGCTGTATCCTCTTACCCGAAGTCAGGTCTCGGCGCTGGTCGAGCGATAAGCGCCTCTTTGCTGTCTCCAGCCGGTCCTGGAGAACCATGCTCCGCTGCAAGAGGTTTGTCAGTTCGCGAGCTTTCGGCGCCTTCAAGTCCATCCCGTCTTGGCTCAGGGTCTCGGTGTCGATATTCAACGCGTCGGTAGGTTGGAATAGGCCTTGCCAGCACCTCGGCTTGACAGGGGATCGTGTGTTTTGGGGAGTTGGTGGAAGGAGCGGCAATAGTTTGGTATGCAAATTTGAGAAACGGTAAATCATCTGATTGAATCATTTTTATCGAGATTAGATTCAGTTTGTGTGGAAGTGTGTGGGGAAGCAGTTCTCAGGCAGATCCCACCAGAAGAAAATGTCAGACGCTCCTTCAATTTGCGCCGACATCTTCGTCTTATGATGGGAAGGACTTGCGAACAACTGCATCGCATACTTAAACACACAAAAGTAAAGTTGATCAAACCAAGGAAAATGCTGTCTGAAGTGGCAGAAATACAAGTTAAGGGATAACTTTGTGTTCGATAATCACTTTGTCAGAAGTTACGGAAAGACTTCTCAGATTAATCACGGTTTAAATGGGCAATATTTTAAAGAGAGATGAAAAATATGAGAAACCATTTCATTTCCTGACTTGGCCATCGGACGGACGTGTAAGAAGGTTGATTTTAAGGAAAATTATGATTATCTCTTTTTTTATGCCCATTTTTAGAAAGAAAGTTGACTCATTATTTGGATCAGGTTGTGTTAAAATAATGTGTTCGTGTGGTCGCTTTTATGTTGGAAAGTCTTGCCGTCCCATTCGACAAAGGGTGGTTGAGCACAAAAGCGTCTGCAGATGGTTTTGGGTTCAAAAATCACAACCAGCGGACTGCATAGCAGAGAGGGGATATTCGAAAGAATGGTCGCAAAATAGGCGTTTTGGTATTTATGACATGTCTGCAGCCAAGCCGAAAATTGGTGAAACTATTGAAATCATTCAAATTAGGCAATACATTTAATGCCAGGAGCGCCAATAAAATGTTAAATACGAAGTATTCATGCTTAATCGAAGGTATGAAGACCAAGATGGTGTGATTTTTGTGTGGTCGCAGTGTCCTTATGTTATATAGAAGTTGTTTGACCTGGTTTTCGCAACTTGGTCATGTTGGTAGGAAGACTTAGAGGAACGCACCTGGTCCGAAGTCCATTGTCTGCATCATCATTTCCAAAGTTGAACCGTGGACGTGGTACATTCCCAAACGCTTCGCCGGCATCGTCAGTGAGTATCGCCGTTCTTAGCACCACACAACAACTCATCAAAGAGACAAGTGAAGACGATCCTTTGACCAAACTTGTGCTAAACAATTGTGGTATCTCCCATTCTGCCCTGGGTTATTCGCGTTTCCGGTATCATCCTATCCTGCCTTCACTATTACAATTTGTACCGTGTTTATTTAGACATAGTTTGGTGTGCTGTTTTGAGCGACATGAAACTTTCACACTCTAAATGTCGTTCTCACTCCCTCCCCCCTTCATCCTTATGCAGGGAATGTTGATCAGAGTCCGCTTTATTATTATTATGCATTGTTAGGGGGAACTTCATTTCGAATGAAAGTACATGATGAAGAGATTCGTTTGTCGTT